TTGGAAGTGCTTTATAACGAAAAACTTTGATTCCCTTAATTAATTTTGTGGCCATCTTCTTCTGTTTCCATAACATTCTTCCTTAAAACAGGTGACCAAAAATTGGATCACTTACTCAAGGTGGAAGTATTATCATTGAAGAGAGGCAAGGGATAGCTAATACCCCTTAACTTACTGTTCTTAGAAACTGATATCTGACATTGCACATTATTTCTTAGTCTGTTGTCTATAACTGTTTATTGTTTTCTGAATTCAGTGCAATTTAGGGTATACATTGCTTGATCATTCTTAATCCCAATATTCAAAACATTACATCTATATGCTTTAGATCTAATCTACATCTTGTCTGCCCAGATCCCTAATTTGTCCAAATCCTTCTACAGCAATGTGCCCATGTCTAGCCAGTTTGAACAACGGCCAAGAGCAGCTCTGGCGGAGAGCAGATTTAAGCCTTGGTGGAAACGGACTTACTACTTGTCTAAGAGTGGAGTTTAAACCTCAGGCCCCAGAGGAGAGAGGGCTTTAGCCTGAGTGGAAGGTAACAGCTCATGGGCATAACTCGACTCCATCCGCTGGTGGAATAACTTGGCATAGCAGGTGTCATCCAGGAATCAAGCAGGCACTGTGATGCTTCTGAGACTGTGACTTTTAAAGTCTGGGATGGGGAGATAGTTTAAGGCTGGTCTTGGCCAGCAAGAGAGAGGTCTTCAGTCTGGGCCAGTCAGGGTGAAAGATTATGCCAGGGCCTGGTCAGGGATGTGGACTTTTCCAGAGCAAAAACAGCGTAAAAAAAGCTCCAATATTTTCAGGCCAAGTTGTCCCCAACACCCATCCTCATGAGGCTGATGCGAAGCTGGTGCCCTGGGTGAGGTTTATAAAACTAGACACTTGGAAGCCCTACTGGCACTGGGGGAACCAGGCTAGAGTGCTTTTACTGTATTTTAGTTCCCAGGGTCCCCATTGTCCCTCCTCCCAAGACCCAGGATTAAAAACTGGGCTGGTGAGAGGGTTTTAGGTCTTGGTTGGGCATTGAATATAGTGCATTCGCGTGGGTCATTCAGGCAGAGTGCTTAAACCGGGGGCCTGGTTGGGGATAGTGAACTTAAGTTTAAGGCCTGGTCAAGTTGTCCAGAGCGAAGATGGCTTTAGAAAAACATTCCAACATTCTCAGGCCAAGTCACCCATTCCTGCAAGACAGTAGTAAAACTGGTTCCCAAGGTGCTGTTTACAGAGTTTGGCCCCCAATGGCCCTAGGCCAGGGCCCCCTAGAGTCTCCCCTACCGATCCTTGCATTCTGGGGTGATTCTAGTCTCCTGGGTGCCGTTTTCACAGTATAGCTCCAGGGGGCACCATCATTCCTGGGGGTCTACAGGTTGGTTTTCCCTGTCATTCTTCCCAGCATAGCTGAGGTGAAGCTGGTCACTTCTTTCCCCCGACAAAGTTGTCCATCCAATTTAGATTGCCAAGTCTATTAATTGCTACTAATGACATTGTTGTTCACAATCAATTCCTGAAAATGATCCTGTAACCCCTTAAGGACACATGACATGTGTGACATGTCATGATTCCCTTTTATTCCAGAAGTTTGGTCCTTAAGGGGTTAAAGGAGCACTATAGGGTCAGGAACACAAACATGTATTCCTGACCCTATAGGGTTAAAACCACCATCCAGCCCCCCTGTTCCCCTCATGCCTCCCTAAAAATAGTAAAATCCTAGTTGTATTCAAGTCTGGAGCTGTAACTCTACATGCTGTTTGCTTTAGAAAAAAAGCTGTCTGCTGACATCATCAGAAGTGGTGGCCTGATCCAATCACAATGCTTCCCCATAGGATTGGCTAAGACTGACAAAGAGGCAGATCAGGGGCAGAGCCAGCATGATTCAAACACAGCTCTTGCCAATCAGCATCTCGTCATAGAGATGAATTGAATCAATGAATCTCTATGAGGAAAGTTCAGTGTCTGCATGCAGAGGGAAGAGATACTGAATGTTTGGATGCATTTTAGGCAGCCATGATCCATGAAGGGTCTCTAACAGCCATCTCAAGAGGGGCCAGTGGAGATTTCACTAGGCTGTAATATAAACACTGCATTTTCTCTGAAAAGACAGTGTTTACAGCAAAAAGCCTGAAGGTAATGATTCTACTCACCAGAACAAATTCAATAAGCTGTAGTTGTTCTGGTGATTATAGTGTCCCTTTAATAACCATTCAAATAATTTCCCATCCACATATGTTAAGCTGGCAGAGTCTTTTATCTGAATAGAGGGGTAGGTGGAATATCAGTACTTGTAATTATAGTATGTGGCTGCTGAAACTTCCCAAAAACCAGAGTCTCTTCTTTTCTGGTGGAACGATGGATGTAAATAGTAGGATCAGGGAGCAGCACCTGTGATGGAGGAGGGAACGAAAAAGACACGGATATAGTGTAGTATGTTGAGATCTTAAGTGATAGTAAATAAAGGGAAAGGAATTGCACTTACAATTTTCTGGAGCCTATATTCAGCTCCAGATATGTGCGCCTGGACAGTAAAATCCCCGCCTATGGATATGTAGATGGTCCTTGGATGTACTCAAAAGGGGGTCTCCAGTGGTAAGAGGGTATATCTTCTTTCCAATGGCATTAGGCCAGTATTCAAATAGTTTGTGAGATATAAAAAAAGAGGATAGAAACACAAAACAGCACTCTCTGGATAATACAAAAAAATGATAAAATATGGAGGTATACTCACAAATGAAGAGCAAGTAGGATATTGCTCAATATATGTAGGCGTAGGTGGTATGATCCCCACCAAGGATGTCACTCCTCGAGTCCTCCAGTGGGGGTTTTGGAGAGAGTTGAAAGGAATTATATTATTTAAAAAATAAAATAAAATGGAATAAAAGGATAGGCTTGGAGGCTCCAATAGCATAAATGGGCTATCCTTATAGGAGACAAAAAATCAGTAACATAAAACAGCTTTAAAAAACACTAACGCGTTTCTCCTGCAAAGAGGCTGTTTTATGTTACTGATTTTTTTGTATCCAATAAAGAGTGACAGGCAACAGAGGTTTGTAGTCAATGGAGTATATTCAAAGCATGGTCAAATAACCAGTGGGGTACCTCAGGGATCTGTACTTGGACCAATTCTCTTTAATATTTTTATAAGTCTTGGATGTAAAAACACAAGGACAGCGTATAGAATATTTGATAGAGTCCTAACCTCAACATCTGAGGAAAGTGATTTAGGGGTAATTATTTCAGATGACTTAAAGGTAGGCAGACAATGTAATATAGCAGCAGGAAATGCTAGCAGAATGTGTGGTTGTATAGGGAGAGGTATTAGCAGTGGAAGAGGGATGTCATAATGTCTTTATCAGTACTTCTCTTATTTTTATAAAATAACAACATAGTACATACACACATATGCACATATACAGTTACATGTCATATACATCAAACTATGCTTATACCAAAACAACATTTTATCTCAATTGAAAAAAGCATATGTTCTCAAATACTAGGCCATAAATATAGTCTGCCAATATATCAGTTGATGCTAGATTTAGCTGGTTCTAATCTAATTTAATAAATATAATAGATGGTGCATAGATGGCTTTATATGGAGAATGCTAATTTCATGTGTATTTAGGTATTGTGCGTGTTGTCTGCTTATTTCAGCATTACTCTGTAACCCTTATATCAAATGTGACCATTTTTGTGTCTTTGCAACCCATATAAGTATTTAATTTAACCCCTTAAGGACCAAACTTCTGGAATAAAAGGGAATCATGACATGTCACACATGTCATGTGTCCTTAAGGGGTTAAAAGAAGAAAAAACACCACAGCAAGAGGACACAGTCTTAAATTAGAGGGGCAAAGGTTTAAAAATAATATCAGGAAGTATTACTTTACTGAGAGGGTAATGGATGCATGGAAAAGCCTTCTAGCTGAAGTGGTAGAGGTTAACATAGTAAACGGGTTTAAGCATGTGTGGGATAGGCATAAGGCTATCCTAACTATAAGATAAGGCCAGGGACTAATGAAAGTATTTAGAAAATTGTGCAGACTAGATGGGCTGAATAGTTCTTATATGCTGTCACATTTTATGTTTCTATGAATGTCAAAGGTGGCCATGAGTGGACATGAGGGGAGACGGGCATAGACACAAGTAGGGAGCGATAAGAGACACAAGATGAGAGGTATTGGGCTAGAAATCATGGGAGCATGGTATACATAGGTAGGGAAACAGAAGTGGCAGTTGGATACTTATGTGTGTATGAGGACACCAAGAAGTCCAGTAGATTAAATTGCTTTCAAAACCACATATATGCACTCCAGCATTCAAACACCTACATTTCATTCATTCACTCTACACTAATATTGAATTGTATCCTTTAACTAAGGTATTGCTCCTCTTATGGTTCAAATAGATTTCTACCCAAAATAAACACACAAAGATGAAATATTTGTGAGAACATATACATATTTTATTTGTGTTTATAATAAAGCCAAGCTACAGTCAAATAACTCTATGATGCCAAATAAATGTGTTCTCTGTATATTAATAAGAGAAAGGGTTATATTTCTCATACAATAAGTGCAGCACATTTGACATTTTCTGTACGATATAAATATATATATTTTTAATGATTTGCAAAGCGTAATCTATGGTATCATTATTTGGTATGGTACAATTGGAATCAAATACACTATGCCTAGCATTAAATTAAAGTATGGAACACATGTAGATATATATTATATATGGACTATATCTGGGGGCAACAGGGAGCTGACCCCAGTCAGCAAGGTATGAGCACATCTTTACGATACCAAGAGCTAAAGCACTGCTCTCTGCATGGTCAAACCCTGAGTGGGGACAGCAGGGAGGGGTTCAGTAAGCCTGGCATGCATTCCTTCTCATCATTTCAGGCTATCAATTTTGAATGTCACCAGTGACACATGTGGCAACACTGGCACATCCCTTTTTTAGCCCTGCAACTCTCTGTTTTGACTTCATATCTCCCATGTTGGATTGTTTGAATTCCTATTGTAGTCTTTGAATGCTATATGTTGTATGTGAATGCTATGCAGTGTGTGAATATACTGGTTTCCTTCCGGAATATAAGGCTGCATGTGTGACTTCTGAGTTTAATTTTGTTGCTTTGAGCAGCGTGTAAATGATGTGGTTAATGTGTGAATGTTGTGGGCCATCTGTGAATACTGTGTGTGAATACTTTATGCAGTGCATGAAGCCTGTGGGCAGAGAATGGACATTGTGGGTAGATGTATTGGTTTGAATCCCATGGGCAGTATGGGCCTATATGCAGAGGGCACACTATATGTAATTATTTAGAAAGCCACATACATGCAAGCATTGAATTGCCATTGTTGAACAGTGTTTATGGAAACATCCACACTATTTTCCATTTAACAATCAGAAGAGGAAGATACAATATAGAGGGAGATACAGTATAATGAGATGCATTTATAAGTGTTCTATTCTAAAAATGGTCTAATGCAAAATAGTCTATAATGGAATGTGTCTGCTGATATACCCAAGGTTTAGTACTTTTAGATTGTTGTATCACGTTTTACAACAGAACACTTTCCCTCAATATGTCAGCTGCACATTTGGCAGAAATCATGTGATGCCATATGAGACTGCCCCTGACAATATAGCATGTGCTGAATGGCTAATTAATGGTACTCTGCAAATGTTTCCACATCTGGTAAGAGATAGAGCAAAACATCTTGCTCCCCTTCCTACTGCCATAAAACCATCAACATTCCAAATTGTAAAGAGTGGTCAGTGGCAATAATGAACATACTTGAAAGTAAGGGGGGAAAAAATCACCAATACAAAGTTTAATAACTGTAGCAGGCAAGCTGTAACAGCTGACTACTGCCATATCCAGCCTTGATTATTTGAAATAAGGAGTTATTGTGCTTTGGCTGCTGGAGCTATCCAATTATATTCTGCTTGGACTAAAACAAAACTATTTTCTCTGATTTTTTTGAAATGCATCATTTCCCCATTCTCCCGTAAAGTAATGACACTGTTCTCTGGCTCACTAAAGGACACCTCTGTTCTCTTATGACAATACTGAGCATGAATACATCGTAGGACTGCTGCCATGGCCATGCCAAGAACTGCTGAACATCCTAAAAGGATACCCAGCTGAGTTATGGCAAGTTGTATCCCTTTGTTCTTATTTCCCCCTTCTTTGCCAGGGGCAACAGCTTCCTGGATTGAGTTGGTGACCCATGGAGAGGTACCCAAAGCTTTAATCTCCACATTATTATTTGAAGCTATTTCTTCTGAGTGGTGCAGGAAATTTGCAGAAATCTCTTCGGTGACATCATGCTTTATGTCTAGTCGAGGGGAAGGTGAGAAGATACTCTCTTGAGTGCCTTCCAAACTGATCATTGTTGGGTTCTTCGGTATTTCTGAATTTGCCAAAAGTAGCATTGTAGGCCACGCGTATAGATCAGGAGAGGAGGTTGGTGTAGGTCGAGATGTTATAAATCCTGTAGAAAAATCCTTAAAATGTAAAGAGTTTTATTCAGTATATAATGTATAATGGATAAACACATATCAGACAAAAAGACATCTTGGGAATATTATAAATGCATTTTATATACATTACATATACTAGTAGAATTTATGGCCACCATGTTAAGAAATATACTGTCTCATGTAACTCAGGTTTGAGGGATGTATAACATATCTCAAAAACAAACCTATCTAATCTCTCTATTCAACAATAACTCACAAATGCCTTTCTCAATGTTATATCCCTCCTTCTTCCCTCCAACATACTAAATATCTCAAACATGCCCTTCCATTAAGGCTGTGACTGGTAAAAATAAGAACAGTAAGCTACTCTTGAATTCTAATTTCTACCTCTGCAGTATTTTTCAAGTGACACATTTTTGTAATCAAACATATGTTCATTTGTAAATACAGGCTGTCTTTGTAATTAAAGGGACACTATAGTCAACAGTATTACAGCTTAATGTATTTGTTCTGGTGAGTATAGTCAATCCCTGCAGGCTTTTTGCAGTAAACACAGTTTTTTTCAGAGAAAAGGCAGTGTTTACATTGCCCCCTAGTGATAACTCCACTGACAACTCCTCAGATTGCTACTAGAAGTGCTTCCTGGGGCATTGCTGCATAGTGTGCTGCACTGATGTTCAGCGTCTCCACCCTTTGCATGCAGACACTAAACTTTCCTCATAGAAATGCATTGATTCCTGCCAGGTTGGAAATTGGCCCCACCCCTACCCCACCTCCTTGACTATTTCAGCCAATCCAATACCAATGGAAAAACATTGGATTGGCTGACATCATCAATTCGTCTGTCCCACTGTCGGATGAGGGAGAAGGAGCGCCGGTAAGTATAACTCTAAGCAATACAAACAAAGGTCTGCCAAGCCTATACCCAGAGCTGATTAGGATCAGATATGTGTGAAGAAAGAAAAGTGGGGTTGTTTTATGTCCATATAAACTCTGTAAGAACTTTCCTGAAGGAAGAGAAAAAAGGAAAAAGAACAAGAAGGGAGGTGTATTGATTTCAACCTGGAATTATCACAATTTTTCACTGTAAAACTGTAGTTCAAGGAGCCGAATCCAATAAACGGTCAGCACATTTATCAGCCTTTTTAAATGACTAATCCTGTTAATAATTAAGTAGAGGTCAAAATGACCCCCTTATTAGTATAAGGGAGATCTAATATCTCGCTTATACACCCAATAAACATGATCGGTTAATTAAGGCCTTTGTTAATGTTCACTTAATAAATCAATTCTATAAGGCATGAATCAAAAATGTAATACATTTCTTTCACATTACACTCTTTACACAGCTATCTGAATCCCCTTAAATCAAATTAAGTTCTATAATTATTATTTTGGATATTCATTCACTAAATGTTTGCCCTGTGTGAATGAATACATCTATCTATTTGAAAGAATGATCCAATTCCTCGTGGGACTATATTATTTCCAGTAAATATGAGCTATCTGGGGGTTCATCTAGAGTAAATTACAGGAGGTGAAGAGGAGAATGTCTAGTCCCATCTTAGCTTGGAAAAGTAAAAATCTAAACAATTTGGTGCAATTATTAATAAATGTTTTTTTTTTCTATTCTTATAATTATATTTGCTTCCATGACTTTGGGAATAAAATCCTATTTAATAACAGTGCGGCTGTTTAATGAAACCGGTTGTCTGTTAAAAACTTAAAATAATACTTCTTTAGAAATAAAAAAAATAAAAAAACTGCTAGGGAATCTCCAAGGAGTATAAGATGAGGACTATTTCCCAAAGGTATCCTTTTCCAAAATAACTCTAAAATAAAACAAATGCAAACATCACATTCTATTCCAACAGATTAACACCCAGGTAAGTGTAAATGCATGTGCCACATCTAACAGCTATCAGAGAAGAAAACACACAGAGGACATTCCTTACAATAAGAAAAGAAAGTTTGGAGCTTTCACAACAAATATCAGAAGGACTGTGTGAATGCACATTTCATGACAGTGGGCAGAGTGGCCATTGGGTGCATGGCATTCTGCACCTTAGTTTATAAGGTGGCCCCACAAGCTATAATCAGGGCCGGCCTGTCCATAGGTCCCGGTGGGGCCATGGCTCCAGGCATCATTTTGACAGTGTACACTAACACTGCACACTAACAAATATTTCCATTTGCTGGCTTGCATATTAAAAGGGGGAGTTTGATTTTCCTCTCCTGCAGCTTCAAGTACTCTCCTCTCGCGAGATCATTACTGCTGGTTGCCATGGCAATGTTCCAGCATGCATTTTGTGCAGCACGGAGCATAACATAATGGATGTGGTTTTGGTGGGGGTGGAGGTGGGGGGGGTGTTAGAATTTCATCCTTGGACGTAGGTAGCACAATGTCCTGGGCCGGCCCTGGATATAATATCGCTTTTCTTTATTTAAAACAAAAGTCCATACAAACAAATTGCAGCTATAAAGGTTCAGATGTCTTTTATTGCAGCTACATGCTGCTCATAGGCAGGACAACGTGCAGCTGCTCTAAATAGGCAGAGAGCAGCTATGTTGGGTTCCCAGTCCTCTTATCAAGCCAACCCACTTCTCCTGCCTTTCTAGTATGCTCCAGTTCACCGAGTTCATTCGGTCCTGCAAAGTTTTCAAAGAATTAACCAAGAAAATCTGAAATCAGTGCCACCCTAAACCTCCTGGGTGCACATGTCAAGATTCAACCGAGGCAAGACAACTCATGAATGGTGAGTATTACATTGTACAGAGACCCTGCCACATAACCTGCGGGCATATTGTAAACATAATATTCCTTTATGGGTAATATAGATTAACTTTGGATATATTTTAACTGTTACTATGAAATAAAGTCTGATTTGCATTGTACATAAGAATGCGAGTATTTCTTTGATATATTGTAAACTTATTGCCAGACCCCTAATGACTTTTGCTGGTGTTTTTTATATGTACATTGTGATCCTTGTCACCAGGTAGCACGGTCCTCTAGGGCAAAAACATGCACAGTCCTTGTAATTGCATATACTCCATGCACTTTATTTGAAAATCCACACAGGATACAGCAGTAAATGAAAAACATAACTGTAACAGAAAACCCTATAAACAAAAAACCTAGCTCGTCTGAGCACTAACTCACTTTGTATATCCCTCTCTATCAGGGTTAAACTAACAAAAACATATGGCACCAACCTTACTAGATAGCAACACTCTGCTAGCTAGCCTGTTGCTTTCCTTTCTCCACTCCCAGTGCTCCAAGCCAGCCTTGCCTTGACTGCTTTCCTTTCTGCACTCCCAGTGCTCCAAGCCAGCCTTGCCCTGACTGCTTTTCTTTCTGCACTCCCAGTGCTCCAAGCCAGCCTTGCCCTGACTGCTTCCTTTCTGCACTCCCAGTGCTCCAAGCCAGCCTTGCCCTGACTGCTTCCTTTCTGCACTCCAAGTGCCTAGTCTCCTTGACTCTATCTGGAGAGAACAGCCTCTCTCTCCTACCTGCTTCCTGGGAGGAAGCCAGCAATCCCTCTCCTTTTCCTGCCTAGCTGGGAGGGGTTTATTCCCACTGCAACAGCTCATTAACTGCAGCTGAGCAGTGGGTTGGAGACGATCCAAAAAACCCTGGCCTGGATCCATGTCTCCCCAGAAAACCACTAAACTGTGGAGTGGAGCATTGGCCCACCCTTCTCTCCAAATGCTCCACCCCAGGGGCCCATAACTAAACAGTGTTTTGTGTTGCCTACAACACATCCTACACATACTCCCCCTGGGGTTAAATGGTATAGGCCTATCTGCCTTCACTTTATCACAACATATATATACATAAATGTGATGGTTCTGTCCCATAGTCACCACACTGTGCAGGGATACACAAGGTCTGTTGCAGAGGATTTTTGTTAGGCCTACAGATTGTGACCCAAGGAATTTCTATTTATCAACAAAGCAAACGGTCTCACCTTTCAATAACCAAAAATATTTAATAAAATCACCACAAGGGTGCTAGAAGGGTGCTAAACCTAATGAGTAGACCTAATGAAA